TGAAGTGGGCTTTCACGTTCTGAAGAAGTGTTTTAGCGCCAAACTTCACTTCAATAAATAATCACAACTTGATGAAAGACCTAGTTTGGCTCTTGGTGTGATTTGTTTACAACACATTTCCCTCCAAAAATTCACAGAAAATAAAGTTCATAAAAAGGACACAAAGCTGCCGACATCCATGTGAATTTTGGTGAACCTGTATTACCTTGAGTGTTTATTGACTACGTTTATTATTCTAGACTCACCGATACGGGAGGAATCAAGCCTGGTTGGGCTTTCAATATTGGCATTATTCTCAAATCTGATTTTTTTAGTGAATTAGCTGGTTTTCGAGACTACCACATATCAAGTGTGAATCACGATAGGCTCATCCAATTAGGTACCAAAAGTATGCTGACCAGTCTTAATGCTGCCCATTTAATCCAAGTAATCTTCCTTCCATGCTAGTTGCCTTGAGGATCCCGACAGATATGCGCTTCATTTCGTCAAATATATGAATCTTGGCGCCTGATAGCACGAGTAAGCAGAGCAGTGACGGAAACTTTGGTAGGTTATTTGTCTGCATATGCAAGAAAATATAATGATCATGGGGTCGTTATGATTCTTACGTTGGAGGGTGAAACTCCGACTAAACAGCAACAATGAAAATGCTCTGTCAGATTAAGCACCAGCACCAGCATATTTGTGGCATAAAAACATGAACAACAACAACTATTATTGGAATTAATAGGTCCAGTCGTTGTATAGAAATGAGGCCTCCACGTGACGCTTGAAGGAACGTTTGACTGCATTTTTAAATGAAAGGCGTGCATAATTTGGTTAACTGGTTCACACAAGAGAAAGTCTCTGAACACCAAAAAAGCAAATAAATAAATAAATAAGACAATGGCCAATTCGGCATCCCATCCAGCCTGAATCATGAGTCAACACGTCCGGCCAGGCTGAACTTGTCGGAGAAGAAGAGAGAAGACTTTTCATGGTCAATTGAGCCTGAGCCCGGGCGACAGGACGTATCGTCGGCTGTCTCCGGCCGTTGCGGAGGTGGGATTCTTTAACTTAAAAAAGGGATGATTTAGTTCCACTTGTGACAGACGATCCGCCGGTGAGGTCTGTCGCCAAAAGGCCTCGGACTTGGCAAACAGCTGCGAGTTCTTGCGCAGCATGAGATGTCGCCGTGGAATTATGCTCCGACGGATGCGTAAGTGTTGCACACTCACCGCTTCTGGCAGCATCGAGAAGAGATGGCTCTTCGGCAGGATCACCAGACTGTAGTTGCCCTTCTTCAAGCTGTTCACGATGTGATGCGCCGCCGCGCACACGGTGTACCGATTCTGGCCGTAGATGTGCAACTCGCGGACATAGTCGCCGTGCTCCCCGTTGCCAGGGCCCGTCCGTGGGCAGCCGATCGGCCGACAGTCGCCCATGGTGATCTGGACACGAAACCGGTTCTCGGCGGCCAGCAGGTGACGGCGCGCCGGATGCGTCCTCGCCTCACTCCGCATCACCTCGTACAGCTCCGCGGTGTTGGGCATCTTGGCCAGCCGAGCCCAGGCGGCGAACTCGGCCTGCGACATTTGGCCCAGCTTGAGGCCGTACAGCTCGAGGAAGAGGAGGTGCGTGATGGTGCACTCGAGTATTTGAAGACGTACCGAAAACGCTGGTCGACTCGGCGGCGTCGCCGCCTCGGCCGGGTTGAGTTGGCGCGGCCGCTTGGCGGGACTCGACTTTCCGGTGCGCGATGGCAGTGAATAGGGCCGCGGCAGACGCCGGTCGACGGCGCTGCGGAGCACGGACTCGCTGTCGCTTCTGGCGCTGCTGGCCCGCGAGACGAGGTCGCCGGTGTTGCCGAGCCCCAGCGCCG